AATATAAGATTATAATATATAAAAATAGCTATTTGAACTAATCTAAACAAATTTGAGATTAATTAGAGTTAGGGTAAGATTTATAGTATAATTTATAGTTAGATTAGAGTTAAGGTTAGTTTTTTTATATTATAATCTTATAATATTTCTATATTGCCTACCTATACTAAAGAAGATCCCTAATTTCTTCTACTAAGATATTAAATACATTGTTATTTATATAGTTTTATCAGACAATTGATTCCTTTTATCAGTACTATATTACTACTAATATTAAAAAATTGTTTATTTGAAATACTTGTTGCTGGAATAGAAAGTAAATTTTAAGCAAATTTTGCAAGATTAGAGTAACTTGATTTATTTGTTTTTTACTATTTAAAATATTGATGCTCAAATCAACAAATAGTATAAGCAAATATAATTCTAATTTACTTTGTTGTCCAAAACATAAATTTTTATAAATTTATAACAGTATATTTATTTTAGATGATTTATTAATTATGCAAGTTATATCTTAAAAGTCATATATTTAGTTTCATATTTATTAATTATGCTTAAAAATTATTTTATTTAATTATTATTTAGTATAATTTGTAATTTAATATATATATCCTTAATTTGAGTAATAAAACATAATAGTTAAGTATTTCAAGCAAGGTTAGTTAAATTACTAATTAACCAAAATTCATTTGTCAAACTGGTTTAGTCAAATTAGTCAAATAGTCTGGTAGAATTGGTCAAATAGTCTAATCTATTAATTAAATAAATTTAGTATCCAAAATAAATATATATAGAATTGAGTTAACAGAAGCCAAGCAGACCAAAATTTTTCAAAATTAAGATTTTTTAATAAAATAACAAAAGCTAATATGCTGGATATTTTTTAATTAATAATGAAGTTTAATTAACATAATAAAATTTTGAAATATTATAGTTTTAAATTTTGTATACAAAAACTTGTAATTCAAAAATCAAGTCAGAAATATAAATCAATTTACTTTCAATTTTGTATAACATGCCAAGTTAACAGAAATAAAGCAAATTTATTAGATAAATTTGCTTGATTTCTGTTGATCTAGCATGTTATTTAAAGTCAAGATAACTTTTTATTTAATCAGATTTTATCTGATAGAGTTAGATATTATTTACTATAATTCAAAAATATAATTTACTCAAAATTAGTAATTTACTAATTTTTATTGACTTACCCCATATATATAGTATATATTATATATACTATATATTTAAATATTTTTTGACCAATTTGACCAATATTAAACCTTTTAACCAACTGGTCAAATTGGTCAAATTAGTCTGGTCAAGCTTGACTATTGACTAGTCTATGCCAATCCTGAATACCATAATTAATAATAGCTATACAAGTGCATAAGTGCTCATTGTTACTTAATAGTACTACATAGTGTTTATAAACCATTGATAAACCTATAAGTTTTCAAATTTGAACAACATTGCTCAAGTTGATATCCTTTATTAGAGCCATGATGAAAATTTGTGGTTTATCTAATTGATTTTTCAAGAAACCATTATTGTAGTCCAACAAAGAGTTTTTCTAAAAAAAAAAAAAACTAAAGCATAAAAATAACAAATTTGATTGAAATATAAACAGAAACATATTATTAAATCTGATCTTAAGTCTTGAAAATCATCTATTGATTATAATTATGCTTAGTATAAAAGAAACCCTTGTTGTTGCATAGTTAAATATGAGGCATTAAGTATAATTTCAATATTTTCAAAACTTTTGGGAATATTAATTCAACAACTGCTGATGCTTGGTTAGTAGAAAGTGAATTTAAATAGTTATTGTGTTATGATCAACTAGCTTTATTGCTCAGGAGATTTTGTATATGTTTGTGAAAGTTATGTAGCAAGGAAGTACTTTTTATGCTATCTTTGATTAGCTTGTTCATTATTTCAACGTGTTGGATACTTTGGACCCCTGTGGTGAAACATTTTAATTGATAATATCGAGCCCATGATTTAACACACCCTTATAACATTCTACCAAAATATTAATTTGTTTGAGGGTATTTATTTAATAAACATAACTATCACCTATAGAGGTCCTCTTCAAATATGCTATTTCATGCATATAAGTATTCTTTATATAAATTATCAAACTGTTTCCCAAGCTTACTTCGTAGATTTTTGCAAATATTCTTCTGAATGTAAAAAATACATAGGAAATGATGTGTAGTTGGTAGCTTTAAAGAAATAGCATTAATTAATGCAGGTTCAGTGTCAGTAAATAAAGCTACTAGTGGTATATTATGTGTTGCATTTATAATATATTCAAGAAACCATTCATAAGATTTAGTGATTTCATTATCAGATAACACCTGAGCTACCAACTGGATTTTCGTATTGTTATCAATTACTACCAAGAGTGTAAGATACTGTACATGTCAAACCAATTTGTCTTACATGTATTGTTAGTTTGGATGATATAAACATAGCAGATCAGATATTGTTGCTATATAGACAACATCCAAAATATCCCTGCCAGCCTATTATCATATGGATCCATTCTAATATCGATAATTCAACCTGGCTCTTGGTTTTTTAGCTTCAACAAATAATTGATAAAAGTTTATACTTCTCTATTATGTTGTCTTGGTGTCTTTCGAAATTTTGAATAGCATTGTAAAGGTCACATTTATAGATCATATAATCAGGAAATGCCACTATTAAGAGCGATGAGATTTGTTTAGACCCCAATTTCCCTTTTTTGACATAAAATTCTATCGATTTCAATATCTGGGAAGATAACCTTCTATGCTTTGGAGCATAAAGTGATACATTTGGATGCAATTGGTGGTTATGTTCTCCCACTATACTTATAATAACTACGACTGCAGATAATTTTAGCTTTGATAGATTTATATGCCAAGGGCATGAAATCTTATTTGACTTCCGATTACGTTGTTGAGAAATATCAATAACCTTATTTTCACTAACTTCTCCAGAATGTGTACACTCAAAGGTACATCGTCTAACTTCACCATTATCACTAACTTCTACTCTTTTTCGACGCAATGAGAAACCTATGGCTTTAGCATAACCATTAATATGTGCTTCAGCCTCATCCCACAACATAAAAGGAACATCCTTTGAAATATTAAAGTCCTGCCTATCATTTGGTTCTATTTCTGCTGACAATTCGGTATCAAAAGTCACCAATTCAATGCTCATGCTATCAACAGTTTCAAAATCAATCGGGTTTGTGGGTTCAAAAGAATTTGTATCTAAATCTTCAAAAACAAACCATTTAGTAATAGTGAATCTAACATTTTAACTAGAAAAATATTGGTACTACAAACCTTCCATAATTTCTTTTATAGGCGGCACTAAAAGTGCAAAGAAGTACGAGTAAGTATGATAAGAAAGAAGTGAAGCGCAATAAGAAAGCAAGAAAGGGCACGACAAGCAAGCAAGAGGCATGACAAACAAACAATAAGCATGACAAACAAGTAAAAGAAGTATGACAAGGAAGAATCATGATAAGGAAGCAAGGTAGCGACGAAAAATAAGCACAGCAATAGAAGATGGACGTGATCACAGTAATGCGAGAAAACGATCTTGACACGATGCACCACTAAATGCCAGAGAAAGAAAGCACTGTAACGAAAATAAATACTAAGAATACGCAAATGGAGAAAAATTCAGCATTGGTAATTCGAACAATACAAAGTAAAGTGATTTAAAGTTCTAACCGTAATGCGAAAAAACAATCTGACAACGCGTCACTAAATACAAAAGGAACAGGTAAAATAAGAAAACGTTGTAACGAGAATAAACAGGTGTAAATGAAGACGAAAATTTGCATTAGTAATATGAACTATGTTCTAACAAAATAAGGTAAATTTAGATTCTAATATGGAAGTATATGATCTAATCGAATGACGCGTAGAGTGTCCAGGATTATGATCCGGCATATTATGCGCATAATCTGCAATTTTTCTTATATGAGATCGCATAATTTGCTCACTTTCATGCACTTTCATGCAAAATTTGATTGGTTAAATAAATAAACCGGCTTGTGATCACCTGACTTGTCGTGTTTTTTTAATTTTATTGGCTAATAACTCAAAAATCGCATAATTCGCATAATTTCCAATTTACCGAATGCATAATTTGGCATTTATCGGAGCATAATCCTGGACACTCTAATGACGCGTAACTATAATTCACGTGATCATGTGATCATCACCATTGGTTATTTTTATTTTTATTTTTATTCTTTTTCGATTTTCACTCTTTTTATATTGTTAATGAGAATATTGACTTAAATAAATAATAAATAAGTAAATTAAAGCGTTGGTTTACTGTCTTTGCTGAGCATTTAAATATTTAAATAGGTGTCTGGAAACAAAACCAAGCAATTTGTTTTAAAATTGAAATATCTCAACAACTATTTTTTTTTATCAAGTTTGGTTAATATTATTTTCCAGCAAGGTAAAGCGCCAAAATGCACCGGATGTGAAGAAAGATGTAAGCACATAATTTGTTTTATCAATCATATTTTAAGTCTTAGCGGATTTAATGATTAATTATTATTTTTTTTTTACTTCAATAAATAGAAAACATGTTCAGATCAAAGAAGGAAATCGTTCTCATACAATAGGACAGTTAAACTGACAGTAATCCTTTACTGTGATTCACACCCTAAATTGGTCAAATTGCAATACAAGATCAGTATAGATCTAATTGTTTTATTATAATTTGAACTTCTTTAAGAATTCCTGGAGTTAAAGCTCTTATAAAAGGTTTCGCTAAAGCGATTTATGACCGTAATGGTTACGTGGTATTGTGAATGTTGCGGATGTAGTTACTAAAAAATCGTATGGGTTTATTGACCACCAAATATTATTAGGTTTATTAAGTTTTTATATATTTAAATAAAAATTCTACATAACTTTATATAAAAAATTTTACATAACTTTACATAAAAATTTTACATAAATTTATAAATCTATGTAAAAACGTACTTGGTGATGGTTTTATTAAAAAACAGAAGATTTATTAATTATTTTTGGCTGATTATGCAATACTCACTTCACAACATTAAATCTTTATTACTATAAATTTATGCAGGTATTTCCAAACAACCATCAGAGCATCTCAAATTTCCAGCAACTAGGGGTGAATCAGGAACTCGTAACGTATTATTACACGTCTGCGAATTAATATCAAGGATACATGTTGCGACAGAATTAAATATCCATTGAATACAGTCGCTGCGGAGAAAACAAGCTAAACAACACCCTTGTGCATCCGCAGTGGTAATTGTAGCCGAATCCGTACTCGCAAATGAATGTGCAACAGTGCTAAAATTTTTAGGTTCACAACATGGAACAACAAGTGTAGGCGTGGGGGTGGTGGTGGTAGCAGTAGTGCTGGTGGTGGTAGTGGTAGCAGTAGTGCTGGTGGTGGTAGTGGTTATCGGTGAAGCGCATCGAATAGTAGTTGCCGGAGTACAGGTCACAGTTGTCTTGGGACAATCTTGATAATTTTTAAAGTTCTGATGCGAACTGCCATCACAAATAAGAGCGTTTTTGTAAGGACGTTTATGAGGAACTGAGGTAGGATCATCATAGAATGTCAATGTTTTATGGGCTGTCTTGGTAATAGTATATGTTACTTTGCACCTTTTCCTTGCACTAGTATTCCATGCCATAAGGAAAAGACAAAGAATGGTAAAAATAAATTTGAAATTATACATTGAGCAAGACAAAAACAAAGATAGTTTGATGTCGAGGAAAGAAGAGTGGAAAGAAGGAAAGGTAGAAGTCGAGGAGATGAAAGGATAGAAAGGAGATGAGATGGGAAAATGAGAAGGTAAGAAATAAAGGAGGTAGTAATGGAAAGAATGAAAAAAAGTGAAGGCGAAAAATATCGGTGGCGAAACGATATTTATTACTTTTGTGATGACTGCTATAATTGTGTATTATACCACATATGCATTTCTAGCATTATCGGTGATTTACTTATTTGTGCCGGTAATTACAGTCCAAAAAAGGAAATTGGATTTTTTAATAAACAAAATGCGTAAAAACACAAATTTAGGGTTAGAACGTTAATATTAGATGCTATAGTTATAGAATATTGCCCGCCATATGTAAAATTCGTTCCCGACATTTTTAATTAATGCACCAAGGCCGATTTAAACACTAGTTTTTGAGTATTTTCGCTTTTCCTTCTTTTCCACGTGTTCTGAATTCATGTCAGGCCGATCCGGAACGATCCAAATTTGAATTCATTAATTAGTTATTTTTTTAGGAGTTTGTATTACCGATACAAACAAGTAAAGCCGCATTATCATAATTGCACTACAGGTAGAGCAATAGTAGAATCCACTTATTTGCGCGGGTAATACAAACCTCTAAAAAGGAAATGGTCAATCAGAGAACATAAATTTCGGATATTCCGGATCAGCCCGGCATAGAATCCGAACACGCGCGAAAGACGAAAAAAAGAAAAGAAAACGAAAATACATAAAAACCAGTGTTTAAATCGACCTTTGTGGACTAATAAAAAATAATGGGGATGAAATTTTACATATAAAAAAACTTCAACTTATCGCTAAAGCTCATAACCCTAACGTCCTAATCCTAAACTTCTATTTATGCACAGTTTATTTACAAAATTTTGATTTCCTTTTTTGGGTTGTATTACCAGAAATGTAAATTGGATTTGCGCAGTAGGCGCAGCGCACATAGATTTAAATTTGTGCATATATCAGTGCTCCCTGTATATATAACGCGCATATAAATTTTTCTTTGTGCATATTTTTTTTGCATTTGCACCAATAAAAATTTTTGAATTTATAACACTGTGTATTACCCGCGTAAATAAGTAAATCGGCAATAGTACACCCAATGTCTGTGTGTTAACAAATTCTGGATTTTGTTTGGCTATATCAGGTGTAACATAAAAAAACAAATCATAACAATCAATGCCCAATTTTTATTTGTGTAATACAGTCCGGGAATATACCAAATTTGGAAATCAGGTTCTAGAAAGATCTACAAGCAAGTTTCTATATTTGATTGGTC